CAAGCAAAGTCCAAGCATGAAGATAGAAACCAAGCCGTACGCAAGATCGTGAAGAAACAAGCTCACAGAAGTGACCGAACGCTGGAAGAAAGTGACCGGACGCTCCGATCAAGAGGCTCGGCAACAGGCGCGACCGGATGCTGGACCGGACGCTGGCGGCAAACCGACCGGACGTGGGACAACAGCGTCCAATCAAGTACAGAGAGGTTTCAGAGCGGCGAACTTGTGACCGGACGCGTCCGATGGCAAGTGACCGGACGCTGGCAGCGTCTGATCAGTTGTTCGCGGCTCCAACGGTCGGGACGACTCGACGCGTTCGGTAAGGACGACTTCGGCGTCCGATCAGTAGCAGAAAAGCGGAATTTTGTCCTCAATGGCTACTTTCTCAGTGGGGCTTATAAATACAACCCCCAACCGGCCATTTGAGAAGTGTGGAGCTGAGGAAACATATCAAGGGTGTTGATACACCATTTTAGTGATCTCCACTTGCATAGTGCTTAGTGATTCATCAGGTGATTAGCGTAGGTGCTTTGCGAAGTGCTTAGGTTGATTAGACCACCGCTCATGCGCTTGCTCTAGGTTTAGGCCTAGTGTTTAGTGAGGTTTGCATACCTCTTACCACTCGGTGCTTGCGCGCACCATTGTTGTACATCGGAGGGGCTTGTAGTCTTGCGAGATTACACCAATCGTGTTTGTGGTGTGGTCGCCACTGTATACCGGAGGGAACAAGGCCCGCGGCATTTCGGCCGGAAGCTTGATAGTGAAGACGACGGGGAGCATCCGGGAGAGGCTTGCCGGAAGGCATGTCGGAGACCCACTTGCGCGTGGGGAAGGCCCGAGGCTATCCACGGAGTTACCCGACCGGGAGCTTGGCCCTTACGAGGGGCTTCAACGAGGACTAGGTGGAAGCTTGCGCACTTCTCGATACCTCGGTAAAAATACCAGAGTCGTCGAAGGGAGTTTGCATATCTCTACCTTACTCTTTAGCTTCCGCATTTACATTAATTACATTACTCCTTTTGCGGTAGAGATAGCAACACATTAGCAAAACCGTAGTTGCACATTTAGATAGTTTATCTTTTGCATAGGTTTTGCCGAGGGTAGAAAAAGAGGCCTTAGTTTTGAGTTGAAATTTTAAGTTGCCTAATTCACCCCCACTCTTAGGCGTCATGGTCTCTTCAACATGTGTTTGGTGGCACATTACATAGATAGTGATTAGGTTTTGCAATGCCGTGTTCTTAACTTTCTTGAGTTAGATCCTCCCCACAGTGGTTTGGTGATAGCTCATGCTGTTTTTGAGTGCTTGGTGGAATGGAAAATAGAAGATAAGGTTATGTCAATCACCCTTGATAATGCTTCAAATAATGATGTTGTTACTATAAATTTGTCAGCCAAGCTGCTTGCTAGAAAGAATGGTCAGTTTGATCCCAAATATTTTCACGTTCATTGTGCTGCTCACATAGTCAATTTGGTTGTTAATGATGGTCTAGACCCAATAGAAGGTCTCATAAGTGACCTAAGGAATACTGTGAAATATTTCAAGAGGTCTCAAAGTCGCCTGTACAAATTTGTAGAGGTTTGCAATGATTATGCTATTAAAGTTGGGAAATGTTTGTCTCTTGATGTTAAAACAAGGTGGAACTCAACATATAAAATGCTTGACACTTGCATTGAGTATAGGTCTGCATTTGGTTATTATTCTCAAGTAGACCAGAACTATGTATGGAAACCTACAGAATCTGAATGGAACATGTATGAGAAGATTAGGCCAATTCTAGGAGAGATGGCTGGAGCAACCACTGCATTTTCAGGATCAGTTTACCCTACTGCTAATGTCTTCTACCCTTATATTTTGAAAGTAAAACTTGCATTGTTAAAGGCAAAAAATTCTGAGGACCCTTATTTGAAGAAAATGGGTGCTGCAATGTTAGCCAAATTTGATAAATATTGGGAAGAGAAGAACAATGTAATGGTTATTGCTACAATCCTTGACCCTAGGTTCAAAATGAGATATATTGAGTTCTATTTTAGTCAGCTTTATGACTCCTCAAGGTGTGAACAAGAGGTTGCTGATATAAAAAAAGAGTTAGAAGAGCTGTACAAGAAGCATGAGTTGGAGCAACGCCGAAAAATGGGTGGTAGTAGCAGCTCATCAACCACTCAATCAGCCTCATCATCAAGATATAAAGCAACTAGTAACTAGTAAGTCTATTTTAGAATGTTCAGTAGTGTGGTGGAAATCATATTTGTATATTTGTTCTCACGTGTTGTTCACATACAGGTAACAAGATATAAAGGGGGGAGAGAACTAGGGATTGGACTAGGGACGTGTTGGTTGCGTGCCACACTGCTTCTGACTTGCTTTTGGTGTATATATATATATATTACCTACACTACAAACCTGATCAGTCTACCACTCAAGCTGCTGGCTGCTGCTCATTTATTTTGCTTCGTTCTTGAGATGTCTAAACTGTATGAGTATGAGTGTATGACTATCGTGGACTCATGGTCATGGTAATGGTTGTGGTGGGCTGCCTTTAAACTTTGACGAATTGTGGATCAATCGATGGATGGATTATATTCTCCTTTGTTAAATTTATAAGTACTTTACGTTTGTTGCTCACTTGCTTTTATAATCTCCCTGTAATGTGTTTTGATGATTTGGCTCGCGAGCCAAACGAGCTAGCTCGAGTTTTTTAGCGAGCCGAGCCGAGCTGCTCTTCTAGCTCGTTTGTATAACGAGCCGAGTCGAGCCAGTATGTTAACGAGCCGAGCTATAACGAGCCGAGCTGTAACGAGCCGAGCTGGCTCGATATCTAGGCCAAGTCTTGGTCCTATGCCCGTGTCCGGACGCAGCTCCGTCGCACCCTGTTCGGTCCCCCGTGTAACCTAGTGTCCCCGTGCCCGTGTAACAGGGGAGCCCGCCCGCTCGCCGCGCCCGCAGGGGGTCTCAACCTCGTCTTGCCCGCGTCACCTCCATAGCCAGGTTCTGCATCTCCGTCGCGTGGGGAGATGCCACAATCTTCTGCTCTAGGATATCCGACGGGGCCAACGGAGGCACCATGTTGTACGAGGGATGGGCTGCGTGTGCTTGCACGTCCTTCGATGGAGTGCTGCCACCATCTTACGGCCGACGCCGCCATGGCTCCCCGCACTAGCTCTCTCTTACTCGCTAAACAACCCTACACTGAGATCTACTTTTGCAACACTTAGATGAAACAATTGTAACATACGATTAATAATTTTGAAACATACACTTACAACATAGTCATTGTAACATATGCAACATCCAGATAAAATACTTACAACATATAAAATATATGGAACATACTGTTGCAATATATGTGTAAAACACATGCAAACATCCAGATTAAAACGCTTGCAATATACGCCTGGAACCGATGAAACATTTTAAACAAACGCTTGCAACATTTCTTTGAAACACCTGCAACATGTGCAACATCCCCGATCTACTTTTGCAACATCCATAAGAAACAACTGCAACATACATTTGAAATGACCGAAACACCTAAAAACATACATTTGCAACGCAGGAGAGGGAAAGCTTGGGCTGGTCGATTCCAGCCGTCGGGAGCGGAGCCGGCGGCGTGCGGCGGCGCACGAGCACCACCAGCACCCAGCACCAGTGTGCGTGCGAGCACCACCAGCAGCCAGCCACCAGCACCGGCCTTGGCTCAGCCTGGCGAGCGGCGCATGCTACGAGAGGGAGCGGGTGGCGTAGCGCACGGCCGAAGCAAGGAGCGAGGTGCGAGTGGGGCACGCGACGGGCGGGGGAGAGGAGCGAGCGGCGCTGGTAGGGCACGCGGCGGCGCGGGAGCGAGAAGCGAGCGAGCGGCGCGGGGTCAGGGCACGGTGGGGAGAAGGCCGACCGGAGTGAGCCGGCAGTGTCCGGATGAGAATAAGAGACGGAGGAAGTCAAAATTGTGGTGCACGCCACTCCTCACGTCCGTCCAGAGCGAGTCACTGATGTCGGACGTTTGTAGTGTTATCGAAAAAAGAAAGGTGCCGATACCACATGCCTGCCTTCTTAGTGTCAGCTACGGGGCATCCTGAAGTCTGAAGAAACGTCTACTGTGCCTTGAACCCGACCCCTTCTTGAACATTGCTGATAGAAGTTGGATTTGGAGTTCAGGTTCTACGTAGCCCACGCCGGCACAAGAAGACGTCAACCGAGCCACGTTCCCACAGCTGCTGGATTGATATAATCGAGTCCAGAAGAAAGCCACAACCACGCCCGATCTGTGTCCATATTCCCTCCCCGCGACGGATCGCATCGCAACATCTGGTTACGCCACGCCACGGACCCGCCACACGCCACGGCCAGCCTGAGCCAGCCAGCCGCGTAGCCGCCTCGTCTCCCGGACCCCTGCGCCGCACCGCCCACAGCAACAGCATCGACCTCGGCCCTTCCCCGCGCCCCAGCAGCCGCAGCGGATTCCCCTCCCCTCGAGAGATCCGGCCCTTCGCGCGGTCGCCGGAGAGAGCGGCATGGGGCTCTGGGACTCGCTCCTCAACTGGCTCCGGAGGTTCGTGCTGCCGGACTGACTATCTCTCTCTTCCCCCTCTCCCGTCCTCTGCCCTCGCCCCTTCCGCTCCAATCCATTCGTTTGGTGGAAATCCTTCCCGCCCCTTTGTTTCGCTCGACAGCTTCGGGGTGTCTCGACTGTTGCGGGACCTGGAGTTCTCTTGGGATAGGGCTAGACTGGGATTCCTTTGCGGCGATGTTATGCGGATTGGTTGCGAATTCAAGTGGGTCGCCTGCTCTGCGCAGTTAGATCCACGCTAGTAACAATTAGCGCATGCACGCAATCGTCAGTTGCTTCTGTATACTGCCCTCGGTAGATCTTCATGCTGTCAGGATAGTTACAAGGATAAAGAGAATTGATTGGAGTACGGATTCAAAATCGTATCGTGTTTACTTCAGCTGTTTGGTCGGTGCCTATGATGGCAATATATACACTCACGATTGTTGAGCGAAGATGGGTAGATACACGATCAAGCTTCAGACGCGTAAAGGGGGTGCCCGGAAGAAGCTTGAATTCGATTTTCAAAAAGAGTGCCTACAATCTGCAGTGTGAGTGGAGACTTTCATTGTTAGGATCTGTCCCTGCCCTTCAGGAAGTGCTTGATTGTGTTTTTTTTTTGAGAAGTCAACGGGAGGGGAGAGGACCCCCCACCTGATTTAATTTCATTGCGGCTCTTTCCATAGTCAAATGTTAAGATACATTGGTTCAGACTGAATCGCACAAAGGCACATAGTCTGAAAAAACATATTGAAATAAAACTAAATCAGCTAGCGCCTATGACATTGCTTGATTTGTGTATGAATCATTGGTTGCTCCAACTGATGTTTGGTGAATTTTAGTTTTCGAACATGACAGATTATTTTTATTTCTCTGTTTACTCTTATTAGTTCTGCTTGTGATAAATGAGATCCTTTCTCTGCTAGTTATGAAATTAGTAGGCCTACCAGTGTGTACATTTTGTTGGCTAAGCATCGCATATTGATTTGTCGCAATTGTACTCATGGCAGTAATATTTCTTTTTCAGCTTGTTTTTTAAGCAAGAAATGGAACTCTCCCTGGTTGGGTTGCAAAATGCTGGGAAGACATCGCTAGTCAATGCTGTTGCTGTATGCATCAACTCACTCAGCTTAAGATACATTACCATGTTTGATGTGGTGTTTTGGTTTTAATTCATGGCTACTGTGCTTTGCAGACAGGTGGCTACAGCGAGGACATGATTCCAACCGTACGTACATACAAACACTTCCTTTATGATATCCTGAACAAATCTTGGTCATCTAAGTGATCTAAAATGCTCATCTGCAAAACAGGTAGGCTTCAATATGCGGAAAGTCACCAAGGGAAATGTCACAATTAAACTTTGGGATCTTGGTGGGCAGCGGAGATTCCGCACTATGTGGGAGCGCTACTGCCGTGGAGTTTCTGCTATTCTGTAATTCCTTCTCTTCTAAAATATCCAATATTGTATATTTGATATTCAGTTTTTTGCTAGTGAGATAGGATTATAACATTAACATACAACTCATAACCTCCAATTGGAGCACTTTATGGGTGATATTCATTTCTTAAAGATAATCAAATCCTTGGAGATCAACCTAGCATTCCATGTAGCAAGGAGATATTAAACTATAGATTACTGTCTAACATTATATTCATTTTCGTACCCTGATTAAGCATGTTTTCTTCCCTTAAGAGCAGTATAGATATACTTCTGCATTCTGCCATTCTGTTTACCCCTGTATGCAGACATGCAGTACATCTTGAAGGATCATAATAAGTTTAATTTAGGAACTGACACATACAGAAAGAGGCAGGAGGGCGGGACTGTTGAGTGATGCTTTATCAATTACTAAACAATAAAGGAACTGAAGTACATTACAGAGAATATCATCTAATGCACATATTCATTTTCTTCATTCTCTTGAAACATAAAAAGATAAACCATGATATTTGTTCCTGTATTTATCATGTTATCTTGTGTGTGTATGACTGTTACCCAGATATTTTTCAGATATCTGCCTTACTGGATATCCTTCATGGATCATGATTTGATAATTTTTTGATTAATTGCAGATATGTTGTGGATGCTGCTGACAGAGATAGTGTCCCAATAGCGAAAAGTGAATTGCATGATCTGCTGACGAAACAGTCTTTAGCTGGGATTCCTTTGCTTGTCCTTGGCAACAAAATTGACAAGTCAGAAGCGCTTTCAAAGCAGGCATTGGTTGATCAACTGTGAGCTCAATCTTCTTCATTTGCCTACTCGTCATTCTACTTTCTGCATGATATTTCAGCTGAAGCTCACTTCCTTTTTTGTTTTCAGTGGACTGGAATTGATAAAGGATCGTGAAGTTTGTTGCTACATGATCTCCTGTAAGGATTCTGTGAACATAGACGTCGTCATCGACTGGCTTATCAAGCACTCTAGAACAGCAAAGTAGTCTTTCTGTGTGTTTGTATCACTTGATGCACGGTGATTTGAGTTTATCTTTGTGAATCAGCGCTTCCCAGAATCCTGGTTTCTTGGTCCAGATGTTAAAAGCGGCCACCTTGTAATTGATGATCCCTTTTCTGTCACAGACGAACTGTATGTTATCTAGAAGACTAGAACCTTGTATTCCCTTTGTAAATCCCTTGAATCTTTGATTATTCTTACTGTGAATGGCATCCAGTGTTTTTAATCTGCACATACCAAGCCAGACCTATGCTCATGCGAAAAAAAAAAATCACAGAGATTCTGGGAGAGTAGAAGTGGGAATCTTATTTTTCCTCAAGTCTTATAAAAAATCCCAAATCAGATTGTCAGTAAATATGGTCCAGTTGTTTATATAGTACTTGCTATGTTCTAAATTGTTACTCTTTTCTAGATATATTGTTTTTAATATGTATATAGATATAATGTATGTACGTAGCAAAAAAATATCTATATCTATATATACATATATATTTTTTTTGTCCATCTATTTTTTTGGTTCATCTCTCTCTGACTACCGGATAATAAAGAGTTTCTTATATGATAACCTGTGCTCATACGAATTATAATGGCTCTTCTCTATCGGTTTAAAAATGTATTAGGTGGTACGTCACGGTTTCATGCATGAGCAGTTTGTTTCCTTTCTAACCTGTTGATTAGAAAAGGCCAAATTTCTATCAACTAGCACATCTATTAAATCTTTATTAAACACAGATCTGTTTGGGAAACATATTAAATGTCACGCACATCGTATAAAGAGAAAGGTAGCCGGCGGCCCGTATGTTGCACCAGGGGAGTCCAATGCGTATATCTTCTAATCTAATCCGTCGATACTTCGTGTGCGCTGACCTCGTCTAGGCGCTGGCGCACAATGTGGCACGACGCCGACGGCGTCAATCGCGGCGCGAAAAAACAGAGGATGTGTGGGCAGACCGGCAGAGACCCTGCGATCATCGAAGCGAACGACCAATGCGTCATCAACATCGTAGAATGATTTCCTAGAGCTATCATGCAGTACTTCATCCGAGATGGATGCCCTTCTCGCGTTGCTGATGATGCGACATATGGAGGAGCTCTAAGGCCTTCCACATAAGTGATGCCAGGAGATGAAAGAGAAAATTTAGGAGTCACTCAATACACTATAGGAGGAGATGTCAACTTCTAGTGGTGCTTGAAAAAGTGGGAGCGAGGCAAGTAGTTGCGTCGCTGCTTGATTGATTAAAAAATATTAATCTTTGTACATGAATGGCAGAACCTCCGTGCGTCCGTTCTATTTAAACTAGCACAAACACTATTTTATTTGAACATCTACTGTTTAAGACAGCACACGAGAGATAGCTTCGGTTTCTCACACTGTAGCCATAAAGTACTCGATGCCTGATACTGTTTGCAGGACGTAACTTTTTTATGGCATCACTCGCCCATCGTGGAGGGTCTAAAGGGTGCTGACAGCCGAGTTTTGCGAGACGTACGGTGTCCCAAAGTCCATGCTCAACGCCACGCCGAACCTTTGCTACGGTATGGCCAGAGTATGCCGCCTTCAAGTCGGGAGACCTTGGGCTTGGCATCGACTGGGTCACTATGATGTCAAAACAGCAGCAAATCTCTTATAAGACGAAGTCCATTCATTTATTGATTTTAACCAGTCTAAACCAATCAATCAACAGTATTTTTCTTTAAAAAAACCAGCACCAGCCAGCCTAAATTAACAGCAGCACCAACCAGCGAACAGGCTCGAAACCTGCTCCAAACTCTCTCGACTCTCATTTGTCACTTGGCCACGTCGCCTGCTCTCATTTGGCCACGTCGCCTTTCGCTCGTTTGATTTTGATCTGGCGTCGCAAACCAGCACAGCAAGCAGCGCCTCCGCTGTCCATACATCCAGAGCCTTCGTGCTGAGCTCGAGCACACGGCCGCCTGCCTCAAAAAAAAAAAAAAAAAAAAAAAGAACCCGGCGGTTGCGCCGCGCCCGGCGCCTCGGGCCTGTCGACCTTCACCACGCAGCAGCGGTCATCTGCCTCGGTGGCAGCTCCCGAGCTTGAGCACACGGGCGCGGCGCTCGCCTCTGAAAAAAGCGGCGCCACCAGCCGCCTCGGGCCTCGACCTTCACCACGCAGCGATGCAGATCGAATCCAGGTACGTCCTCCTGCACCTCTCCTCCGCCATTGCTGATTTCGACCCGGCCGGTGGGTCTCCTCGGCCCGTGCCGCTGATTAGGGAAACTCACCATGCGTGCTCTCCATGTGTTCGTTGAAATGACTTCTGTGCTATTCTGCTACCGGCTTCGTCGTCGTCTCTCCCCTATGGCAGTGATGCACTACCACTCATCCTCAACGGACAGTGTGGATGTGCCCAGCGTCCGCACTATGCGCTAAATGAGTTTCTGGACCGCGTCACCTCGGCAACGCCGTTCGGCATGCTGAGGAATCTGCAGCACGTGGAACTTTGCTTTTTTCACGTCACGTTGTACAGACATCCTTCCTTTAAGGATGGGAACGGATGAACCCAACGCCATCTTCCAATGGAATCCATTGGCAGGTAGCAGGTTCAGCTATTTACGACTTTGCAGCTGCAGTGGCATCACCATCCAACCTGAGCGGGAAGATACACCTGAAGGTGTTCACCGACCTGTAGGCTGTTCGGCTTGCCTGAAAAATAAGCAAAAATATTGTTTCAGCTGAGTTATTATAAGAAAAAAATACTGTTCTAATTAAAAGACACTGTTCCAGCTGAGTTTATGTGAACAGTACTCGCATGAGTGGGCTGGCAGCGTCAGCCCAGCCAGCCAGCCGAACAGGCGGCTGGTTCCTGGAGCTGAAAGGGTCATAACAGACAACAGAAGGATTTATTGACATGAGCACCCTAAAACAAATTGTTACCGTCGCAACACACGGATATTTTTGCTAGTATATTAAAAAAGTCAAAAAATAACTTATATTTTAGAATGCAAAGAGTAAGCCAAAATGATTTACAATTTAGAATGGAGAGAGTAGTAATTACCTTGGGTTAGGGAAACAAGTCTACCTTAATGTGAATCTTTTTAGTTCCAGTGCATGCTTATCAATCCGCCATAGCAAATCCATGATTTGGCCTGGATTGTCCCGAGTCACAGAAGCTATGAACCGATGGCTGGTGTGCCCCAGCCCCCAGCTAGATCCTCAGCTCAGTGCTCACTGCCTCCTCGCCATGTCTTCCATTCTCTTGGGATGATGATCTTGGGAGGCCCGTGGCCGCCGATCCATGCCGCCAAGCGAGGCGCTGGTTCTCGCGGAAACCGTAAATTATTTGTGCAGGGAACCATTCCTCTCTGCGAGGGTGAGGAATTGTTGCTGCACTCTCCGCCCTGCAACAAGCAAACCAAAGCGCAACAGCGAACAACACCTGAGTCAGATAGATTCAGCACGCTACCAACCGCAGTCCGATCATCTCGTTCATCGGATACTCGTATCGCGCGTATCCACGTTGCACGGATGCTTCCCTTTCCCTGGGACCTCGTATCGCGTATCCGATAATACACGTTCGATACGTATAATTGGAGTATCCGATTTTTTTTCTATTTTCGCGAATATTGGATAAATGGGCCGATACGTACCTGCCTAGACGATACGGCCCAACCCAACAAGAAGCTCCCTTGTCCCTCTGTCCCCGACGCCCTAGCCTCCTATGCCCGCACGCCCGCGCCTCGCGCCGCATCCCCGTTCGGTGACGCCGCATTCCCGCTCACCGGCGGCCGGCCACCTGCGACGAGTTTCCACCCCTGCGACGTGGATCCAGGCTCCAGCGAACTCCCGTGAGTTCATCCCCTTCCCCGTTCTCGATCTTCTCTTTTTCTTCAGTTCGTGACTTCTTGTTGCTTCATTTCTTTGCTCCCCACTTCCTCTTCCTCTTCCCATTCTCGACCTATTCTATTTCTGCAGTGTAGTTCGTGACTTCTTGTTGCTTGATTGCTTGGATGCAGTAGATGGTGTCTCCAAATATGAGTAGTGCTAGTGCTAGCGTAGGATCTGCAGCCATAAACACAACAGACATCAGGGCTCCACTTTGGGATCATGTCACCATTCTGGAGAAGCCTAGAACTAGTGGAGCAAATACTTTATGGCGATGCAAGTATTGTCCAATGCAAAGACTGAGTAGTTACACTAGAGTTGAAGCTCATTTGCTGCAGAAGGAAGGAAGGGGAATAGGTAAATGTCCTAATGTTTCATATGAAATGCTTAGTGACATGAGGATGGAAATTGAAAGGTGTAAGGAACTGGTGGAAAGATCCAAGCCAAGAACTGTTTCTTTGCCTAATGCTCCTTCCTCAAGCAATACCGCTGACAGCAACAAGAAGAACTAGAGGGGGCCTGTTTCTGCATTGGAAAAAGCTTGGGCATTAGAAGAACGTAAGCACTTGGATGCTTTAAGTAGTAGAGCAATTTATTCTGGAGGGGTATTTTTCAATTTTCTGAGAAATCCATATCTTCGAGAAGCCTTTACCTTTGTAATCAGTTTTAATTTTTTAATATGCGTTATTATCTTTTTAATTTTAATTTTAAATCGTAAAACGTATCCACACGTACCAGGTGTTTTAGGAAATTATCGTATCCGCGTATCTGTATCCTTCCGATACCGACACACATATCAGTATCCGTGCTGCATAGGGTACCTACCCACCCTGAGGCTAGCTGTCCATGAGTGTGTGGAGATTCGGGGAGCAATTTAACATTAGTGAAGATCAATGGAGTGTTTAGATCACATGGATGGTGATGTGTAAGGGTTATAGTGAGTGCTTAAGATACCTGTGTGGATATTGAGTTGCCGTCAGGTCAAATCAGAAGTGCTGTGCCTTCTGGGTTGAGACTCAGGGGACGGAGCTTCGCGTGGGTTCCTGAATACAGAAACTAAACAGGCTCGCTGCTTTTCTTCAAGCGGGCAGATGCGTTGTGATTCAAAGGATGCATAAACTAGGGTTCGTCAATTTCTTCACCATAGATCTCGATGTGCTTACCACAAATAGGATGTCCGTTGATTGATTTCCATGACTCGTTCTCGATACAGAGCTGCAGATGCATAAGTGTTCAATGGTGTTGTTAGATCTAGGGATTGCAGAAGTGGGTAATATGAAAATTTATTCATCTAATAAGTTAAAATGTTACACATATGAGTTTATATTATTTGTGCCACTCTAACATCCCTGACTTTTAGGCAACATCGGCAACTAACTCCATCGGCAACCCCTCACAACCCTCACCGCCGCCGGCTGCTCCACCCCGCCGCGTCGCCATGGGTAAATTCCGCAAGCTCGGCCGCGGTTACTCCCACCGCCTCTCCATGCTCAGGTCTTGCTTTTCTCCCACCTTAACGCCCCTATCGTATGGCTCTATGCCGCCTTGCCGCTGACCTCTGGATTTGCCTCCTTGGCAGGACGATGGTGTCGCAGCTGGTGAAGCACGAGCGCATCGAGACCACTGTTGCCAAGGTACTTTCTTTCGCGTACCGGCGTTTCTTTGAGCAGGGGCGTGTGGTGGGCGGGTGGGATTTGTGTTCCAGGAGGGGTGATTGTTGAATGCATTTCCTTTGCCGTGGTTGGTTTTAGGCGAAGGAGGTCCGGCGGAAGGCGGATCAGATGGTGCAGCTAGGGAAGGAGGTAATTGGAACACAAGTCCCCTGATGCTAATTAAATTCCAACGTGAAATATTGTGGCATTTCGTGGTATCCATGAATCTATGTAGGGCAGTGGCGGTAAACAACCTAGCGAACATTTTTGCGTAGTACGCTCATAGGTTAGAAGTATTTGTAAGAAAGTAATTAGTGTTCCTATATTTGGTAGGATTCACCTCTACAATTCAGATTGCTTCTCCACATGGCCTGTATGCATTGCTACCTGAATTGGAGTTGGACACTTGGCCACTGATTGTCTGATTACCACTTCAGAAGTAATGCTTCCTGTCTATTTGTTTGACACTCTGATTCATTGAAATCTCAATCAGACACGTATAAGCAGTTGCTTTTCCAGCTCTTTTTAAGTAAAGCAATGTTTTAAGCAATCGGACCAACACCCTTGTTTTTCTCAAGTACGCAGACCAGCATCTTTGTTTCTGCCTTTCTTGCATAGAACTTAACATCTTTTGTTGTCAATGCTAATTTGTAATATAAGATCCAATAACCCTAACATCCTAGGACCCATTTGGCATGGCTCCAGATTCTGATTCAATTTGGAAGTGATTCAAATTCACCCTAGAGTGCTAATTCAGCTGTGAAATTGTTTGAATAGCTGGTTGGGTTCTAATTCTTAAAAGAGAGGATAAATCAACCGCATTTCTTCTCCATCTGTGCGAAGGGTGGCAACAAATTGAATCGATCACTGCTTGCGTGGGAGACCTCAGTGGGCAGCAGGGTTCCCCATTGTGAAGGGCAAGCTCGGCGTGGAAGGGAATTCAGTGCAGAGGGCAAGCCTGCCATGCGTGGGAGCTCAACGCGGAGGGCAAGCTCGCCGTGGAAGAGATATCAGTGTGGAGGGAAAGCTTGCTGTGAAAGAGAGCTCAGCATGGAGGGCAAGCTTGCGATCAAGGAGGAGCTTGGCACGGAGGGGAGATGGGACTGTGAACTCAGCACCAAGGGAGAGCTTGACCCTGACTGGGAGCTCACATCTGAGGACGAGCTTCCCACCAATGGGGAGCTCGGCGCCAAGGAGAGCCGACCGTAGCGACAGGGGATAGTGCGGTTGGTGAAACAGGTGGGTTATTCGCACGTGAAATGAGGTTTTGACTGACTTTTCTCACGTGTGCAAAATGGTGAATCAATTCACTATGATTCCCACATGGAGCCAACGAAAGAAAAGACATTTGATGGGGATGTAAGGGACCGTGACGCCTAAGGAGGAGGGGGGGGGTGAATTAGGCAACTTAAAACTCTAACTCTAAGCTATGGCCTCTTTTTCTAACCTTAGCAAAAACCTATGCAAAAGATAAACTATCTAAATGTGCAACTGCGGTTTTGCTAGTGTGTTGCTATCTTTACCGCAAAAAGAGTTATGCAACCTAGGTTCCAAACCTATCAACTAGCCTATCACTAAGCTAGGAAAGTAAAGCACAAACCAAGATTGCAATGTAAATGCGGAAGCTAAAAAGTAAGGTAGAGATATGCAAATTCGCGTCGACGATTCCGGTATTTTTACCGAGGTATTGAGAAGCGCGTAAGTTTCCCCCTAGTCCTCGTTGGAGCCCCTCGCAAGGAATCCCTCGCAAGGGTCAAGCTCCCGGTCGGGTAACTCCGTGGATAGCCTCGGGCCTTCCCCACGCGCAAGTGGGTCTCCGACGTGCCTTCCGGCAAGCCTTTTCCGGATGCTCCCCGCCGTCTTCACTATCAAGCTTCCGGCTGAAACGCTGCGGGCCTTGTTCCCTTCGTTACACGGTGGCGGCCACACCACAAACGCGGTTGGTGTAATCTCGCAAGACTACGAGCCCCTCCGATGTACAACAATGGTGCGTGCAAGCACCGAGTGATAAGAGGTATGCAAACCCCACTAAACACTAGGCCGAAACCTACAACAAGCACATAAGCGGTGGTCTAATCAATCTATGCATTTCGCAAAGCACCTACGCTAATCACCTAATGAATCACTAAGCACTATGCAAGTGGAGATCACTAAAATGGTGTATCAATACCCTTGGTATGTTTCATCAGCTCTCCACATACAAATGGCCGGTTGGGGGGGGTCTATTTATAAGCTCCACCGAGAAAGTAGCCGTTGAGGGCGAAACCTAGCTTCTGCTACTGACCGGACGCTGCTGTCGTCCTGACCAGACACGTCCGGTCGTCCCGACCGTTGAGCGCGCGCGTAGAGATCGGACGTACTGCCGAGTCCGGTCATCATCGACCGGACGCATCCGGTCGCATTTGCGTCGCTCTGGAACCTCTCTAGACAAGATCGGACGCTGCACTTTGTGCATCCGGTCATCCAATGCCGTTGCGTCTGGTCCTCACTGAGTTGTTGCCGCGACGATAAACAGTGAAGTCTGTGTGTCCGGTCACTGCCTCGCTCAGCGTCCGGTCACTGCTGCTGACGCCTGCTATTGCCGAGCAACTGATCGGACGCGTCCGGTCCTCATAGGGCCGCGTCCGGTCACCTCTGCCAAGCTCGTTTCTTCGCGATCTTGCGTCCGGCTTGGTTCCCATCTTCGTGCTTGGACTTTGCTTGATATCTTGGGTCTTCTCTTGTGCTTCTAGGTCTTGCTTATAGTGTTGATCGTGGGATCATCGTGTCGCCTCCGTCCAAGTCACGTCTTGCACCCTATTGAACTACAAAACAATTACTTGCACATTCATTAGTCCAATTTGGTTGTGTTGGTCATCAAACACCAAAATCCAAAGTAAATGGGCCTAGAGTCCATTTTCCTTACAGGGGATTTGCTGGTTTCTCAAAGGAATCAGTGGCAACAATATGTGTCAAAGGAGCCCTTAGTCATGGATTAAACTTTTTTTTGTGGACACCCAGTAGTCCTAGATATGTTATTCTTTTGTCAGAACCAGAAAAAAATTGTCCCAGAGGTGTATGCAATAGGCATATCATATGATTTAGAGCCCTGTGCCCTTCCTTAGAAGCTTATTTGCAACTCAAACTTATTTTTATCTGGCCTGGGTCTTCTTTTGATTTTTGGTGACTTGATGTCTCGAAGCAAACAATGCAGAAACTTATATCATATATTGGCACAATATGTAGGGTACTGAGCATGCAGCAAGACGTGCTGCTGCCTTTGTTCGAGGTGATGATGTCGTTCATAAGCTATTCACTGAGCTGGCCTACCGCTACAGGTAATCTGTTTTACCTACGCATGGATTCACTCAGTTTACTGTATCTGCATTTGATTTGTTACTAGCCGTAATTCAGAATTGGTGTGATGATGTCATTTTGATATCTGAGTGTCGGGTATCGATATTAGGGATACCCAAAGTAAGGAAGTTAGCGTCCACGCTGACTTTTCGGGTATCGATATTAGGGATACCCAAAGTAAGAAAGTTAGCGCCCACGCTGACTTTTCTGGATGGATCAAGATGTATTAAAAGGTCTCGCCCGACCCCAAGGCCGCGGGCTCCGTCTTGCCCGACCCCTTGGGTGCGGGCTCCGTCTCGCCCGACCCCAAGGCCGCGGGTTCTGTCTCGCCTAAGGCCGCGGGCTTCGTCTCGCCTGACCCCTTGGGTGCGGGCTCCGTCTCGCCCGACCCCAAGGACGCGGGTTCTGTCTCGCCCAAGGCCGAGGGCTCTGTCTTGCCCGACCTCGAGGCCGCGGGCTCCGTCTCGCCCGACCCCTTGGGTGTGGGCTCCGTCTCGCCCGACTCCAAGGACGCGGGTTCTGTCTCGCCCAAAGCCGCGGGCTCCGTCTTCCTCGACCTCGAGGCCGCGGGCTCCGTCTCACCCGACCCCTTGGGTGCGGGCTCCGTCTCGTCCGACCCCAAGGACGCGGCTTCTATCTCGCCCGACCCCTTGGGTACGGGCTCCGTCTCGCCCGACCCTAAGGACGCGGCTTCTGTCTCATCCGACGGGGACCATACCGCCGCCAACCACTCCAGGTCCAAGCGTATGGGCCTGGTTCAAAACTCTGACACCAGGGAAGAGACTGGCACGCTTCAATGTAACCCGTGGCCATGACGGGCCATATCTGGGGATTCACATCAAGAACAGTGTCAGACGTGCCAGTGCTGTTCTGCCTAACCCTCGTACGGACGCTGACAGGCTCGTCGGTTCACCACGACGTCCGTCGGGACGGAGTGGAACGCCATGACCGGCAGATGACGCCTACGCATGGCGTCAGTGACGAATAGGGCCGCGATGTGGAGCCGTCACTGTTGACATCTACAGGATCGACGGGACCCGCATGAAGGAGAAGAAGGACCCGACGACCCTAGAAGCCTTCTTCTCTCTCTCTTCCGTTCTTCTCCTTTTCCTCCGCTGTAACCCGCGCTTTCCCTTCGTCTATAAAAGGGGAAAGCAGGGCACCCATGAAAGGGGAGGAGGATCTGAACACAAAAGCATGACACGAGCACACGGCTGAGCGGCAAGCGAGCTCTCAACACCCGTTTACTCCTTCCACCAGAGACTTGGGATCCTCTCCCTCTCTCATCTGTTTGTAACCCCTACTGCAAACCAAGTGCCGGTAACACGAGCGGCAGCGAACTGGACGTAGGGATGTTCCGCCCGAACCAGTATAAACCCTTGTGTCTTCCGAGCACACCATCCGAGCCAGACGCGCAAATACAAATTTACTCGTCGGTGGTCCGAAAACACCGACACTGAGATAGGCAATAAGGCATAAGGAGAACAATTATAGTTAGGGCTTGTTTGGAATTTGGATACAAGAGCTAATTGTTAGCTAGCTAAAAATTAGCTCAAATTAGCTATTGTGTATCCAAACATGAAAGCTAATAGGTGGGCTAATTTGTTAGCCAAGTTTTCAACTAGCTGTTAGCCAACTAGCTAGCCCACTAAAGCTAATTTGGGTTAATTTTTAGCCCCAACTAGTAACTAGCCATGTGTATCCAAACAGGCCCTTATATAATGTATATGCATAGCATCACCACGTTTAAAGACTTTTATATATTCCAGAACCTTAGTTCTAGCATTCATATGAAGAATTTGGCAGCAAAAACTTTTACTATTCATCTAAAAGTTGTATAATGATTTGTATGATAACACAAATGTGAAAAGTAGAATAGAATGCCATGTATTTGGAAGCACAGTGGATTGGAACTAATTGTATGTTCTTATATTCCAGAGATCGAGCTGGTGGATATACAAGAATGTTAAGAACAAGGATACGTGTTGGTGATGCTGCACCAATGGCATACATCGAGTAACATTCTTTATCTATATTTCTTGGAGACCAATTTTACGCATACATCTTCTCACAGGGTGTTATAGTTTGGTGCACAGTGCAAGTTCATTGTTCCTTGGTACTTCCTTTAGTGAAAGGAGTTGACTATATATTTCTAGCCAAGTACACCCTCTGTTTTTAAACATATGATGTTTAGGACAAGCTAGTTAGTTTATTTTAGCATGCCCTAAACGTCATATATTTTAAAAAATTGAGGGAGTAATTGGCTTTGCTTCACATTGTTACATCTAAATAGTTCAATATGAATCAGACTGCAGTAACCCGTCAAATGACATATAGCAGATTCCCTGTAGACATGTATTTATATTCGTTGTCATATGCAGGTTCGTGGACAGGGAGAATGAGCTTCGAGAGGCCAAACCTGCAACACCGCCGCCGCCTCAACGAGTCCCTCTTGATCCATGGACCAAGTCACGTGCTAGCCAACAGTGGGCAGGACCTAAAATCACCAAGACCTCGGAATCAGACGGCTTATGAGCTAGTGTATCTATGTTCCATAAAAAGCTTCAGTTATTTTGCTTAACTAGCAGGAGCTTTTTTTTCACTGGAGATAACTGCCGATAGAATAATTTAAACTTTATTATCATATAGAATAGTTTAAACTTTATTATCATATTGTATACTTCGAATTCGCCAATTGAAGATTGCAAGGCTGTCCACCCAGGAAGTTTGGAACGAGAGATGTATCTCTGTTTTGCTTATTGCAGTTGTAACAGATGGATTCAAGGCCATGGATTTTGATGGTTCAGTATAAGTGTACTGGATCAAAGATTTGATATTCCAGCTTCCTCCTTTCATATTATTTCCTTTTATTC